AGTATTAACTCGATGGCAGCCATTTTTCATTCAAATAATCGATTGTTAGTCAGTCGTAATTTAATTTCTAGGGTGGTCGAAGGCATGGATGAATAGAGACTTCACATCCACACCTTCATTACAGGTTTTAACTTGTTCATCAATAGCATCGTTACATCGGTACACCGTTGTATCTCTAGTATCTACTCGACAGCGCTCTACTTTTATGAAAAAAACAAATTTGAAATGTGTCGAGAAAAGCATTCTCCAAATCATGTTTTATTGCTTAAGTATACTCTACAATAATATGCAGACCATTCTATTTATTTTCAAACAATTTGCGAATAGTTTTCCTTCAACGGTATAACACATACAGATCTCATGATTCTAGATAATAAATCATTCATTCTATATATATACTCTAGACATTTACAAAGAATTTTACCAGCCGTTCCATCATATTTGATTATTTATAGCTGACTGACGCGGAGTAATTGTTCTTCAGCGAGTGGACTACTACTAGCCATATACTCTGATCTCCCTTGGGAAATGTGTGTCTTGGTTGCGCGGTGACTACCTGAAATAATCGTGAACTGTTACACGCTGTAACATTCAAAAAAGGATGAATATGATTTAAACAGCTTTAAATCGCCTTCGTCCTTTTAGTTTTACTAATAACTATTTATTTTTGAGTGCCATTTCCGTTTTGTTTTAGATGTTTGTTTCTCGAAAAGCAGAACTTAAACGTAAACGTCGACATCAAAGTAAAAAAGCTGCTCAAGCAATATTGGCCGTAAATAATAATCAGCCATACGATGAGGACGACGACGAGGAACAACAAGAAGGCAACGAAATGTATTTTAATGATTTGCAATCAAGTTTACCTGCATGACTAACAATTATTTGAACGATGATTACGATTATGGAGATCAACGACAACAAATCGATTATTCAAATCCATTGTATAAAGATGGTACAGTCACAGTTAAAGCCGCCGTAAAATTGTTAACTGACTTTTACACAAATATCAATTTGGACAAAACGAATGTGCTACGATTATTAAAATGAATTAAATCACTCTTACCCCAACCAAATTTATTACCAACGACATGGACAGGTATTTTAAAGTTATTAGACAAACAATGTCTGTCATCAGCAAAATTTATCTGTTCAACATGTAGTCATTTATGTTTTATAACAAACTATGGAAGAAAAACATGTATCAACAATAATTGTTTATTGTATCAAAAAACGCTGAAAAGTAATCAAATTGGTGAATTTGTAACCTTAGATGTTAGATCACAACTGGAAACAATTATACACCTAATATTAATATATTAAATCGTGACGAATTATTTCAAACAGGAGATATATGCTTTGGCGAACATTATCGGACTCAAGCTAAACAGAGACTGAATACGTTACCATTATCAATCCGCTGTGACGGAGCACCACTAATTAAAACATCAAAACAATCATTATGGCCATGTTTTGTAAATATTGTTGAGTTGCCACTACCAGTACGTGACTATCAACAAAATATTGTTGTTTGTGCGTTATGGTCATCAAAGAAAAAACCAAATGTTACTGTTTTCTTGGAAGAAATGATCAATGAATTGAAATACATGATGTCACATGAATTCAATTTATTTATTGACAGTGAAAAAATCAAAATTGTATTGTCAACACAATATTTTATCGGAGATCCACCTGTCAAATCGTTGTTTTTAAACATATTTATTTTAATGGTTACAATGCGTGTGTGTGTTGTTATTCAAAAGGTAAGATGAAACCTTTTTTCTGTCTGACGTGCAATTCTTTCTTTCGTTAATACCTTTTCTGAACTGCTTTTACTCCAAGATGGTTTTAAGCTCGGACTTGCATACTCTCTTTGAAACAGGTTCATGTAAACACTTGCTAGTATAAACTTCTCCCAAGACAGATACCAGCAGTATTGATGAGCAAAGACCGACAGATTTCCATTGGAGTTTAGGCTCTCACTGGAAAGTTTTTTAGGTGAGTGGAATCCACAGTATGGTATGGTGTTATATCCTTATGACAAGAATAATTATACACAACGAACACATGAACAACATCTCATTTCTGCTCGTGAAGCAGAAAAAAAATCCGCTGGACGTCGCGCGATAATTATAAATGGTGTGAAGGGAACATCTAAATTATTAGAAATATTCAGATATCCACAAGATATAATCTACGATTATATGCATTTAGTTTGCCTTGGTCATGTACTACAATTAATAAAACGTTGGTGTAAATTAATAACAAAACAACAAATTAATGAACTAGATAAACAATTACAAGCAATTCAGTTATCGCATAATATGCACCAACTGCACACAAAGCATATCGACGAATACATACTTTTTTAACTAGAAACGGAAATCGAACGCGAAACCATAGATCACAAGAGATAAAAACTAATATCCGTGATGAACTGCACATGGCCACAAATTGAAGGAATGTACGGAAACGGCACAAATATTCGGCTTGTCGGAGTATTGGCAGTTGGATCGGGCAGACGAAATCCATAATAGAGAATGTCATAGATACAAGTTAGTAAATAAGATGTATCAGAGATCGATAGACATAACAATAAGACGGATGTGGATATGTGACGTAATATACGACGAGTAAAGGTTAACAAACTGCTTGTATTGCCGACGAAGCCAAATAAAAACAAGATTAGAGTACCGTTTAATTCTATTTGAGAGTTGAGATTTTATATGATATCGATTAAATATGCATTCGTAATAGTATTATTCATTTTCCTACTGTTTCTGAACTTCTTAACTCTGCATCATTGTTCTTCTCTTCTTTTTTTTTTCTATTACAAAAAACAAGTGCTTAGTATGCACACCTTTTATTTAGTATTAGATAAAATAGTAATTTGTTGAACTATTGAGCATGAATTAGCATCACCCTACTTTTTTTCCGTCAAATACAACCAAAGAAAATTAATAATGCATTACAAATACTTTCATTCAAAACAGAAGTAGAACGGAAGAAATGCAGATTTCCTTAATTAAACGTTACTTTTAAACTGGTGGAAGTGCTCTAGGCTTTGATAGATACACCTACTATTTAACAGAAATCGGTCATCTGAAAAAGTGTTTTGTATCCTGTGATTCACTTCATCTGCTGCTCCACTTCATAAAACAAAAAAGATGCCTTTTGTTAAAAGAGTGTACTAAGATCATAATGTAAAAAGAAAGAGACGCTTGCTCTAAACAGAGATTATGGTTCTTCATCTGCACTTAAGCAACCATTCATAGCAAAAGAAAAGTGTGAGTCAGAGTGACGCTTTTCAAGGTCATAAGTTGTAGTTATTATAAATTATTATATGCGAACTTTTTGTTCAGATTTTTCACATGGAAAGCAGAAATTGTGTTGTTTTGAACAATCAGTTTTTCTCCTACAGTGATCAAACAATGGAACGACTTGAGTGAGGCGTTAAGGGTGTGTAAAAGTTTGAAACCATTTCGGATCAAACTCCAAGATCAGGTAGATACACTGAAAATTCTTGTCTTAAAAAGGTCTATAAAATAAATCGTATGTGAGTTACGATAAAATATATTACCAAGTAACGAGGGAACTTCGTGAATAGGTATGTTACAAATTCAAACCCAAGCGACTTAGGTGTACTGGGTTTGGGTTTGGATACCCAAGTCTCGGACTTGGGTTTGGGTCAGTTGCCAAAGTATACTAATATTCTTCTTCAATGAAACCTAGCAGTAGTACCCGCTCTTCTACCATACTATTCATTTATCTTTTTCTCTTCATCGTTGCTGTTTTCACTTTCAAAACTTCACTTTTTTTCTTTAGTTTTCCTATTCTTTTATATCATTTTTTATAGTGTACACCGATCGTTTGTTAACATATTTGTGGCATGTTACCAGTGCTTATTTTTTTAGTGTTTTTCTCTGTTTCAAGGATCAGGATGATATGAACAAGATAAGTACAATAAAACATTCAACTGTTGGATATTTGAACTAATCCAAAATGAGCTCTTATCGTTAGCATTAGGCATTACGTATGCCCACAGGTCGAAATAAACATCTTACATCCTGTTTTCTCAAAGAGCCACAACAAAAGAAGGTATCTCAGTTAAAAGGAGTCTTTTAATAACCCAAGTCTGACCCAATATCCAAACCTAAGTCTC